TGTAATGACGCACCAATCAGATCGCGACATTGACACTGATGGGTCGATCGGATGACAGCTATCTGCCTAGCCCTGGTCATCCCATCCGGAATCGAGTCGCCTTGGGCATCACGAGACTGCTCGTGGTGTGACGCGGATCCGTGCGCGGTTTAACGGGTTCTGTGCGGTTCGAGTAAACGTTACCGGTAAATGGCATATCGAACATCTATCTTTATCAGCGGACGTTGGCTTTTGTCATTCCATTTAACGTGGGTTCGAGCCACCATATACTCGGTAGACAAGCAGTGCTGATCATTTCCAATAGAAATAAAATAGCATTTCCAGCGCTTTCAGGTAATGTGTGACACACAGTGGATAAACTTCTGATGAGTGGAACGAATCTCACTGAAAAACTTGGGCGTCGTGCAGCGGCTTGAGAAAGGCCTTCGAAGAGGGTCGAAGTGTTGCCACCAACGCTTTGTGTTTTGCTTTTTTTGTTCGTCGTGGCTAAGATATGCTATTTTCCTCAAACTTCTAATCACTTTATCTTATGCTATTCAAGCATGTAATAACTGCTTACCCGTTTTTCTCTGTAAATACATTCACAACTTATGAATTCAATATTTTTCGTATTTGTGTTTGACCGTAATAACCCAACAGTTTTGAGAATTAGGAATAGGAAAAGTTCCTTGGCTTCATCTTCTACTCTAAACCAGTTATAATTATCTTCTGTAGATTGTTCATCTCAGGTTTTTAAAATGTACCCCTATCGCTATTCAGAAATTCGACTAATAGTTGATAAACATTTCCCTACCATCTATCTTTTTCTTTGTCAGTTGTCGTGTACAAACCTATCAATCGGATTTACCTCGAACTGCCGTGATCATTTGCTTCCACAACGAGGCCTGGTCCACACTTCTACGGTCTGTCCACTCTGTGATTGATAATTCACCACGGGAATTGCTTGCCGAAATCATTCTGGTGGATGATTTTTCTGATTTTGGTACGTCTTTTCGTACTTATGTTCACTATTCGTATTTGCGTATTTATCAAAAAACTTCTGTTTTCTTTTCGTTTTTATTACAAATGCAACTTGATATGAGAAACTGATTTCCCTGGTAACTGTAAAAGGAATTACAATGGCCACAAATTCCAGAATCCAACATCCAATACTGAGGTCGACGTTTTCTACCTTACATCACTCACTGAATAAATAAAGACATCACTCATGTGTTTCAAATAACCGTGATTACGTAAGCAAGCAAGTAAATGAGAGTAAGTGAGTGAGTAAATAAGTAAATGCGTATGTATATATTTGTGTATATTCGTATCTGATGTGTTTGTATGTAGTCGCAGATGCTCACCTATCAGGGGATTACTGATTGTTGTAAATTTTTGTTATACGCGGAAGATAGTTTAAACAATGAGAATGAAGTATTTTTTAGGTCAGTAGAAGCTCATCAGATTCAAAGTATCAAAATCCCAATTTAAGTAATGGATACATACACTTGTTAAATGTCATTCAAATTCGTGAATGATTGTTTCTATGGCATGATATTGTGTTGTTACCACTCTCGGAGTGCATTTAATCTGCACGTTCTGGATATATCTTGATACAACAATGTACAAACACATGAATTTAAGCGGCAACATATATGATTTGTGTAACCATACGCTCGGGGTGTTAACGTCCAAGCGTTCAGCTCAAAAGCAAGATCTTCAGTTCCCTAAAGGAAGGTTCGCGGTTTGATTATCGCCCGGGACATAGAACATAATGATATACACTGCTGTTGATGACGAGACTAAATTCGGTGCTGTTAGTGGGCGTTCACACAAATGCTTAGGCCGCAGCCCCCTCAGAATCTTAATTTCATCGAAAAGAATCCGTGATAATAGAGAAGTACTGACGATAAATAGATGTAGACGGTGTACAACGGTGCCCCTCTAATGATCAATACAAAGGAGGCCGAATGATGTAAGAAATCAATTTATTGGCAAAAGTAACAGATTCACCAATAAAACACTTATGAGGAGTACTAAAATGCAGCTTGTTATAGATAGCCTGTGAGCAGTCACTTTGAATTCCTTTTTTAAGATAACGCCAGTGCCCTGTAGTGGAAAAATAGAGGATAGTTGCAAAAACGCTGATTCGTTCAGTGGAATACTCAAAGGCTATTTTTGTATTTTCATGTATGAATTTTACTCTTAGTTTCCTGCAGTTACGTAATGCTCATTTCATCTAGGTTTTGAGTTACAAACTAATCGTCCTGATACGACTGCACTATCTTCTAGTGTTTGAATGCTTAAGCCACCTTACTTCTGTTTTTTTCTCTCTTAGTCGTTCTATTTGTCCCCATCTGCAGCACTTCCTTTCACGAACGAAGTGGTCGTATTTGTCTATTTTCATTACTCTTGATAAACTGGATACCGAAATGTGATGTTGTCCAGGTGTTTCCAGTTGTCGTTTCCATCAGGAGGGAATACGTTTCATGATTAATCATTCATATCTACGTTGAATGAATCAATGATCCTAAAATCGGTCGGCAGGCAGATACACATTGGAAATGGAAGTGTCGATTCTGAGACATTGATCTAGATCATTCACAAATGACAGGAGAGTGAATGTACTATGATGAACACACCTCATTGCAGTCGATCGCTTTGAAATTTTCGATGCTTAGAAGCAGCATTAGACGCTTTTGTGTATACCAAACGGTTTTTTTTAAACTTTGGTTTGTCTAAATAGATGCATTCGTCATTCTGGTGAAATCTGTTTAATTCTGAGTAGTTTTGAAATATGAATCGTTTATTCCTGTATGAAGCACGCTTCAAGCTCAGTTGATAGGTTCATAGTTTTTTTAACTTCTCTGAGTATTCGGTTTGGTACTTTAAAGTGCAAACTACTGACGTGCGATTGGGTATCAATCACCTTTAACTTGCTACTTAATAGTGTGAAGGGTTTTCAGTTACATGATAAATTGTACCTAGTCGAAGTGGTTAGTGTCACAAATTTCTAAGGCCCAATCGACGTATGTTAGACTACAATGTCTTTTTCGTCCCTGTTATCTTTCCTTTTTCATCTTACTTCCTTTGATTAAATACATAATGATATCGTTTCCAGGAAGGAGGAAGCGGTCAATCAAGCAGACTGGGGAAAGTCAGGCGATAGTGGTGGGATTCAAGCACACGCCTGACGAGGTGATAATTCAGTGGCGTTACCACTCGATTACGACGTTTGATCTCAATTGCATCTACAGTGCAGAACAATGCTGTTTGCAGTCAGGATTAACAACTGAAGAAATTCGAGTGAAATAACATTCTTTGGTGGTAGGCGGCTTTGCTGTCTCCCGGTTCTATACCACGCCTGAGCTAGCAGGGCCTTATGTGGTTCGCCGCTCCAAGCCCCGGGGCTTAGCTTGCCGATTACCGTTACTGAACAGCATGTCTTCGTGACTATGGGGTCTCCCCGACTGCCGTGTGTAATAAAAGAGGAAAAACTTTCTGCTTTTAGCAGCTGCTTCGACAACATTGATCGATTTCGCATTTAACGCTGTTTGAATAACTGCAAACACCGTCATACGGTCGGCTTACAGTGGGGCCAGCATCAGCCGTCGCATAAATGATGTCAACGGGGTTTAGTGAAATGCTTACGCAATAGGGGCTTGTTTTACTCATATAATTTCATGAATCACGCTTTGTCCAGTTTCGCTGTACCCCGGAAGCAAAACTTCGAGCTAATGTTTGAATTTTGATTTTATGGAGTTTAATATTAGCCTAAATTATGTGGTTCTTCTCATTTTGACCTCCTCCCTGATCTGCGCAAGGGTTTTTTCAACATCCAAGGTTGTAGGCTTGTGTGTTTGTATTTAAATCAGAGGATCGTCAGATCACATCGCGAGTGCTGTTCAGCATTTTTGTTCATCGTTTTTTCTATCTTTTTGGCGCTGTAGTTAACTCTGGATGAACACGTTTGTTTTAATTCACCGGTGCGATTTATCGGGTACGAACTGCGGGTTGTGTCCGGAGTGCTTCAATCAACTTTTAATTCACCTTGTACTCCCTTTGTTCTCTTTCTCGTATCAGAGTTCCTGAAAGAACCTTTGGAGAACTATATGAAGCAGTTGAAAATTGTCAAAATCGTGCGAACCAAAGAACGCACTGGACTCATACGTGCCCGATTAGTGGGGGCACATGCGAGCACAGCCGAAGTTCTCACATTCCTTGATTCTCACATTGAATGTACTCAAGGTGATTTATTCCTGTGCGCAAATTTTTATTCGTCTTCCGTCGTTTTTGTGCTTACTTACATAGTACTATTCGTTCTAACGTTTGAATAGTCCCACAGTACACATTGAGAACAACAACAGCAAGGGGACCTGTTCCTTTTGCCATTCACTTAATCAAGTTATGATTTTTTAAGCCGTGCTTTGTTTTACTGGTCCGTGCAACTGTTTGCGGAAAAATTCGTGATAGTTCGTACCACACTTTCTGTTTTTTTTCCTTCTTTCGCTCTCCTACAACCACAACATTGTTTTAGTGAAAAACAGCGTTAAACTGAGTGATTTCACAAAACGCATTTTGATGACAGCACAAAATATAAGTCATATGAACAAGCGCATTTCAATCTCTCATTACGATGTCTAACAATCAGATTAAACGTGATGCATACAGTCATGTCGCAGAAAAAATACGATTAAATATGTAGCACAAATTAAGGCAAAACCTTAATTTTAATATTTCATAAACTCACAAGTTCAAACAGGCCCCTTGGTTCACACATGCGGGTGGAATGGTGAATAGTCGGGTAACTTTGTGTAAATCGGAAGCGTCACACCTAAAGTATTTTGGTTGCATTGACTTCTTGGCTTAACTTATTCCGTAAAACTCTATCAGGGGAAACCCGTGTAAACCGTCAGCTTCTTTATTCTGACATGTGTCCCATCGGAAAAATTCCACAATGGGGCTTTCTTTCCGGATATGCTTAATTGACACATGCGATTGAATTAAGTAAACAAACAATGCAGTCACGTGTATTGAATGTCTTATCTTTTCCCGAAATAAAGTTGAAAATGTGAATGGGATTAGTGATGTTATACAACTGTTGTCTAATGAATTCATTTCACTCCAAGAGATATATTAAAAATGGAATCTTGATTTGTGTAAACAAAAAGATCTGCTCTTGGTTATTGGCCCCCGAGAATTAATAGTACGATGCATCATGGTCTGCAGCGTGTTTCCGAGTCAATAATAATGATAATAATGGTTCGAACAAAATTTTGACAAATTCACCTTGCTGTCTCTCTCATCCTAGTATCACCTTATTAGAAGAAGATTCAAATAAGGAATGTTTTCGAATTTCACATTACGCAAATTAATGTCACGCTTCTGAAAATGAGCAGTCGTTAAACAGCTGAATGACTGACTTTTCAGTCAGTAATTCTCATAAGTCAGACTTCGTAAATATAACTGAAATACTCTATCTGTCGTTTATGTTCCGTTTATTCAGCTGTTAAATATCCGTAGCTTAATTTCATTTACCTATTGTTGTTGAGTTCTCCACCATATAGACTCATTCTGTCGATAAAAGTAACATTCGCTAAAACGTAGCTCTAATCCGGTTGCTCCGAGAGGTGCAGTAAATTAAAAACGTGGAATTATAACATGATACATACTTCACAGTATTTCGGGTTGCGAGTAATTTAGTTTCTGTTTGTCCGCAATCTGATCTTGATTTTTTGCCCGGGCTAATGAACAAAGAACAGCGACAAAACTTAGTGCCGAAACTTGGGGTTGCTAGTTTCAAAAACACGGAGTCGATTGAACGTGTATGACTATCATTTGCTTATGTGGATTTGACAATGGGTTTTTCGTGTTTATTTTCGTCAAATTGGAATCCCTTCCTGGTGAAAAAAGTTGATAATGACTACACGAAAGAAACCGGCAGTATCGTGTGCTTGCCAATTGAGGGTTCGCATTAATGGTTCGAAAAAATGTCTATATAACTAAACAGCCGATGTATTTCTGGCGTCAGCTAGCAGGCTCACTGGATGCAGAATGGAAACTGTTCATATGGGCTCCGTCTGTTTTGGGGAGACTACAATATATCTGATCAGAAAATACACTTTCTTGATCGAGGAGATTTATTTTATTGACTGGAATTATAACTTTTTGTCCTATATTTTGCACAGGCTGTCTGAGTTGCTACTGTTGCGTTCAACCAGAGAAGAGTATTCCCGTAATTCTTCAGATATAACCACGTCAACGGTTCATTGCATTATCATATTTCATCCGCCTGTCAGACTGTTTTCGTTCAGAGCAACTTTACCCCATTGACAGTTGCTTGACAGATTGACAAGTAACGTATCCCAGTTTAGAAGTTTTTTTCTACCCATCGTATTGACCTACACGTTTTCGTTTGAAGAAAGCTGCCTAGTAACAATGCATTTCCGCTTTCAGCGTAGTCGATTTGTGTTGGTGTATTGCTTATTTTTCGGTTGATTCTTTTGCCAGCGCTTTGCGTTCACAGTATAAGATCAAAAAGTGATTATAAAGTTGATGAATATGAAACGTTTATGTATCCGGTACGTTTTGTCATTAGTGTATACGGGAGGCATTGGAAACTGTAGTTTACCTATTCGGTTGTGTTTTGCTTCAACCAGAAAGTATTTGTCTTCGGTGCGTTCTCGTACCCTATTAGTTTTACTCGGTCTCTGTGTGTGTTTGTGTGATTCACAGTCATACTGTGAACTCCTCAAGCTCAATTGCATCGCTGTAGAACGTCCTTCGTCTGGTAGACAGCTGCCTGGTTGCGTTGTATGAATTATCAATCCCATTGCAGTCTGATATATTACGTCACTCACGTCCTTGGAGGCTCTGTTGTGTTGCAGTTGACGGATATACTATCATTACACATTGGAAGAAAAACACAGTAGTGAATAAGCTCGTTTACGGTGATTCTTCTACCTGTCAGTACATCACAACTTACATCAAACTGTTTAGTAGGGGGGAGAAACCATGATATATTTCAAATGAAATAATCAAGATTCCAGCTCCATGACTGGATGTTGGATGTTAGGTCGTCACACATGCCCGTTGGTTGGGGTCGGTGGGGGGATGACTATGTCATGTATGATGTTCACCATGGAGTACCGAGTGTATTGTATTGTTTTGAAGCATTATCGAGTTATATGCAAGCTGTCAGCTAGAAAGAGACTACCGTCACAGTACTGGCAAAAAAGTGAGAAGGGGGGAGGGTCAGACATCAAGCCTGCAAACACATGTAACCAGCAGAAACATTAGAAACGTCGCAACGAAAACTCTTATCGTGAGTCAGTGTCCTGGTTAGGTAGGGTACCAAAGAGTTTCTCTAGGTTCCTGCTCAACGTGCAGAAACGTGACCATTACGGGAACACGACAAAAATAGATTATCGGTATTCGAACACCACTGTCTACGCCGCATTGCAAGAATCTGGTGGGGAAACCGGACAAGCAATGCTGATGTTGAGCGCAGCTTTCTCGGTAACCGCCGTTGCTCACTGGAACAAGTGGTCGACCTCCATCATCATTACACGACCGGAGGTATGTGAGTACAGTGACCTCAAAGGTCACCGTACTTCTGGGGCATTTCTTTTCAGAGCAGGGAGCCCATCAGGACTTTGCAATCAACTGAGTCGACGGCTTCTTTCAGGTCAAGGAACACTGCGATCGTTGACCGACGATGGGTATGACGCAGCTCAAGGATCTGACGCAACGTAAACATTTGATCAATACATCCACAGCCAGGCCGGAATCCGGCCTACTGTTCACGGATGTTGGTCTCTCTTAAAGGTGTCAGACGTTGAAGTATGATCGAAGCTAGCACGTTGGTGATGGTCGGGATCAAACTTATCCCGCGGTGGTTTTCACAGTCGTTGCGACATCCTTTCCTGAAAATGGGAACGACCAGTGACTCGTCCCAAGGTGAAGGAATGTGTTCTTGCGTCGAAATTTTGCGCAGTAAGGTAGTAATACAGCTTACGAGGTTATCACCCCCATCTTGAAAAGAGTGGGAGGGAGCTCATCTGGTCCTGCTGCCTTTCCTCGCTTCAGAGCTTGAATGCAAGACCGAACTTCTGCTTCCATTGGAGGATCGCATGACACTGCCCACGGAGCTTCAGTCGGAGATGAAACAGCCTGGTTAGCACTACGCCAGCTGAACTTTTCGCTGAAGTATTCTGCCCAGCGATCGATTCGTTGATCCCTATGGTGAATAGCTCGTCCCCTCCTATCGCAGACTGTTTCACTAACTGGGGTTCGCCGACCTCCCGTGTTGCGTATCAGTCGGAACAGTCTTTGACTATTCCCTGATGCAGCTGCGATTTCCATTTCACTAGCTATTGTTGCCCACCAGTTCTCACGGTCCTTCTTGAGGCTCTTCGTGAGCTGACGTTGTAGATGCCACCCAACCCTTTTTTATTCCTGGCAGGTCGGTATTTGTCATTCTTGCTCCATCAGGGCTACCGACTCCTGAGATATCCAATACCTCTGGCGGGTTTGAGGCTCAGATTCACAAGCAACATTCGCTGCGGTATGCATTCCTCGCCTAATCTGATCCCACTGCTCGTCTATATCACCACTTTGAGCGCACTTAGCTGACGCACTAGCTCTGACTCATTGAGTGCATGAACTGCTAGAACAGATAGTCGATGATGGGCTATCCAATTGTTCTGGTTTTGTCGCCGACCAGTCAGTCGGAGAGTGAAGTGTATCAAAACTAACGCGTGGTCAGACTCAACGCAGGTGGTCCAATAGGACCTGCGATTTTGCACTCAGCTACGCCAACGGTAACTTACTGCTATGTGGTCGATTTGAGTTAGCGTACCAGTTGAACTGGAGCGCCACGTTGCCGTCCGTCGAGAGCTGTGTCGGAAGTTGGTGCTTGATAAGAACAGATGATGGTCTGCGCAGAACTGAAGAAGTCGATCACCGTTATCTTTTCGTTGGCTGGGCAGTGCACAACTACCGCCTAGGCAAGCTTCTGATGCGCTCAGTATTCCAACCTGCGCGTTGAAGTCACATGCAGGTACAACTATATCGGAGCTTCGACTCATGCGAATGAGATCGGTGGGTTTATCGTAGAAAGCGTCCTTTTGGGTATCAGAACTGCCGTTGGTCGGTGCATATGCCAATAGGATGAACAAACACCTTTTAATGTTGCTTCCCTTCCGGACATTGATTGAACCCTGGAGACGCACTGCACATAAACGACTGTTGAGGGGGATCCAATCAATAAGTGAGGACTCCGCCCTGTTACTGAGTACAATACCTACCCCGCGTTGACCTACTGAACGAGCTTCATCGTCGCCTGATGTGCGAAGGACGTATCTCGTCGACAAATCTGGCGCGCCCGAGTGGCTTAGAGTAGTAGGATCCTGGATCCGACTTTTCCGACACGCAGCAAAAATCAATTCCTAAGGACTCCATTGTACCAACCAGACAAGCTTGTTGACCTGGCTGCATCAAAGTCCTCACGTTGAAAGCCCCCAGATTCAGTGATTGACGAAGCTTTAGAATCTGCAATCCATACTTGCAGTACTATTTGACAACGACCTTTGGCGAGCGACATCCAAGTTGCTTGAGGGACTTACAGGTGGATAGAAGGGGTAAAGGGAAGTAGTTGGGTACGGAAGAAAGAGTTAAACAAAGGTTGGGATACCTAAGCAGTAGCCCACTTATCACTCCCCACCCCGCTCGATGCAATGGGCTGCGTGGTCTTGATTATCCTTCGCGACGACCGATGCAGTATGGAATTATTTTTATTTATTTATTTATTTCATGTGTATTTTGTGCATTGGGTTTTGGTGGACGGGTACTGCTAGTGGGTCCAGCGAAGAAGCAGGAGAACTGTTAGGGTTCTCGTCCAAAGCCTTTAGTTTTAACAAGAACCTAACCGCAAGGCAGTGGGTGAGGCGAAATGGAGGCCCATTTACTTGGATCGATTACTCCTCCACCGCTTTTTACCGACTGAAACGCCAAGTTCCAGTCGACCCCCCAACCTGGAGGGCCAGGAGACTGAACTTTGTCTGTTTTCTACCCATTGACCTTCCAGGCATGATTAGATCTGGCTTGATAAAGCCATCCTCTGTAGCTCGTGTTCCAGGTAAGTTGCAAGCTTTTCTGGAAAGTTTGAGTGCTAGTGTAGCCATGTTCGGTATGCG